AGAGAGCCATCTCTTCAGCCCCATCAAGTGGATTCTTTACACAAGCTGGGTCTTTACCACATTTATGTCTATTCTGAATAAATGTGTGGGAGTCCCCCCACACACACACACATTTTTTTGTTTTTTGTTTTTAATTTTGCTTTGTTTTGTTTTGTTGAGAACAGGTCTCTCTATATGCTCCCAGTTGTCCTAGAACTTGCTTTGTACACGAGGCTGGCGTTGTGGGACTTTCTGTACACTGTTAAGATGTGCCTCTGCCCATGGTGCCTTCTGATTGGTTTAATAAAGAGCTGAATGGAGACAGCAAGGTAGGAGAGACTAGGCGGGGCTTCCAGGGACAGAGAGGAGCTCTGGATGAATCTAGGCACACAAGAGACACCAGCAAGACACGAGAGTAGAGAGTAGACGTACAGAGGGGAAGGGAGGTAAACAGTCACGTGACAGAAGGCAGGTGAATAGAAACATGGTAACTTAAGTTATGGAGTTAGGTGGGAATACGCCTAGACTAAAGGCCAAGCTTTTATAATTATAATTTTATAGTAATTATAATTTTATAGTCTGTGCCATTATTGGGGAGCTGGCAGTCCCAAAGAAAGTCTGACGAGAAAGTTTGCTACAGGCTGGCCTTGAACTCACTGAGATCCCTTTGCCTGTGCCTCCCAAGTGCTGGGATTAAAGGCGTGTGCTACCATGTCTGGCTATTTCACACTTTATTTTAAAGATATGTTAGTAACAAGTACACGTGACTTAGCTTTTTAAACATTTATATTACATTTTATTTATTGTGTGTATGATGTGTGGGTGTGCATCCCACAGCAGCGGTCAAAGGACAGACAACTTCCACCATGTAAGTCCCAGGAATTGAATTCCGGTAGTCAGGCTTGGCAACAGGTGCCTTACCCTGAACAAGCTTGCTGGCCCTGAGCTGGCTTTTGTATGTGTGCGGGGTACGTGCACAAAATTTATTTGTATGTGTGCATGTAAATGCCAGATGTCCATATCAGCTATGTCTTCAATTGCTCTCTGATATTCCTGTTGTTGTCGTTTCTTTCTTTGAGACTTCATGGAGACTCCTCAGGTCCACATAGAAAAGACAGACCTGGTAGCCGGTTAAGACAACCTGGTCAGAAAACACTGATGCCAGGAGCTACGGCTGGAGCTGAGGGCCCTGGCTGGTAGCAGTATGAAACAGAGGGAGAAGCGGTGTCCTGTTCTTCCTGCTTATCCATTTCAGCAGAACTACCCTTCTCAAGAGCCGCCATGTCCTCATGGACCTACAAAAGTCTCTTTCCACCACGCACTCATTCACACGCTCGTGAGCAAAACACACTTGGCATCCATGATGTCAAACCTGTGACCCAGGCCAGTCTGGGCCTTGGCACTGTACGTGGTGCTGCTCGGCCTGCACACAGATCACCGTGCCTTGACCAGGTCTCCACCAGCTACCACGGTGGAGTTGGTAATTAAAGCCAACCTTCAAGACAGCAGGTCACAGTCCACACGCAAAATGCTGGTTCACCTTGGTCTCTGCGACATTGTCTTCCTGAAACTGGAGCTCACCAATTCAGCTAGGCTGACCTGGATCAAGGGACCCTTCTGTCTCCACCTTCCCAGTGCTGGGATTACAGGTGTACACCATGGTATCTGGCTTTCACCTGGGCACTGGGGAAACAAACTCAGTCCCCATGCCTGTAAGGTAAACACTATTGACTGAGCCACCTCCCAAAACTAATTCCTAGAATAGGAGAGATTTTAGACACACATGTCTATTTGCTTACTCCAGTTTCTAGCAACACTGGTGAAGCTGGTATAGCAGAAACCCCACCTATCAGAGAACCCGCCCACCAGAGACCCCACCCATCAGATGCCCTGTCCATCAGAAACCCCACCCATCAGAAACCCCATCCACTGGATGCCCCACCCATCAGGAACTCCGCCCATCAGATGCCCCACCCATCAGAAACTCTGCCCATCAGATGCCCCACCAATCAGAAACCCTGCCCATCAGAAACTCCACCTCCAGAAACCACGCCCACCATAAGCCCCACCCATCAGATGCCCCACCCACCAGATGCCCATCCATGACACACCTTTGCTTTGTGAGCTTGATGAAGAATCTTTAGTGTATCTGAAAGAAAAAAACAAACGAGTTCTTTGTTCACACAGATTTATCTAAAACCTCTGTTGTAATTATTAGATGCAGAAACTGGAAAAACTGAAAGCCTTTCTTTACAAACATACCTACTTAAAATCTGTCCTACTTTAAAAGAAAATGCACTTTAGCAAATTATGCAAAGTATAGGAGGTCAGAAGTGGAGCTCCGTGGTGGACTGCTCACATATGGAGATCCTGGAAGGGAGAAGGGGGGACCACGGGGAGAAATGGGAGAGGAGGGGAAGGAAAAGAGAGGGAGAAAGAGGCAGAGGGAGGGAGAGAGATACACAAAGTACTTTACATCGATAACCTTTTGACATTGAATGATATGAAATTGTCATCTACAAAGTTCAAAATCAAGAACCCCTGAATTACCAAAAACAAATCACAGAACACTTCATAATGTTTTAAGTAAGGGTCACTTTCGTACTGGCTTCACGAGACCTGTGGGTCAGGCGTGCCCATGTAGGTTCAAAACTTAGGCCTTTGACATGCAAAAATGGAGCAGCGGAATCGGGAGTCTAAACAGCAAACACAAAACTCCATTATCTCTTCTAGAGTCACTAAAAGCGAAGAGTAAAATATATATATAAAATGAAGACACAAGTGACAGCCGGGCATTGTGAGGGCCCAGAGTTGTGAGCCTGTTCCACCTGATTGGAAGCCAAGAGTCTGAGATTATTTTCCTCTCAAAGTTGTTGACAACAGGTGTGGCTACAAACGAGAGTTTCTGACCTAGGGTGTGGTTAATTAGTATTTCAGGTATAGAGATGGATCTGCTCCACTTGGACCAAAGGCTGGAGAATTCAAGTCCATTCCTTATATCATGTTAACGAAGTCTCCCCCTCCCCTCTCAGAGTGAAATATGTAAGCGTGTGGAAGATAAACGAATGTCCCCCCCTGATGCTGCTCTGTGTTTCTCTCTCTTATTTTTCTTATATTTTTGTTCCTTTTGTTTAATAATTCTAACTCTCATGCTCCTACCCTGGAACGTTTGAGTTTTGTCGAAGCTGGTCTTCAACAAGGGGTGGTGGCATACATCTTTAATCTCTGCATTCAGAAGACAGAGACAGACAAATCTCTATGAGTTCCCAGCCAGTTTGATCTACAAAGCAAGTTCTGGTCAAGGCTGCATGGTGGAACCCTATCTAAAAAACAACAACAACAACAAAAACAAGTGAAAAGTGGCTTAAAAAATCACTATTCCATTGAGGCAGTTATAAGGCCTTCAGGTCAAATAACTGGGCTGAAAGAGTGCTGTTACCTTCAGAGTTCAAACATCATCTAGGCTCAGTAGTCATGTGAGCATGCCAATGCCCAAAGACCACCAATATCTCTGTTATTCTTTTTGTGTGCACGTGTGTGTGTGGTATGTATGTATGGGTGCATATGTGTGTACATGCATGTATGCACATGTCTGTATGTGTGCAGAAGCATATGCATGTATGCATGCACACGTGTGTATGAGTGCATGCACATGCTTGTAAATAGCATACATGTTGTACATGCATGAACAAGGAGGTCAGAGGTTGATGTCAGGTGTCTTCCCCTATTGCTCTCCACCCAGTGTTTAGAGACAGTCTTTCTCTGAACCTGTAAGTGTTGGAGCTCAGATGGAAAGGTATTTTGGCAGTCGGGAGCCAAGGAATGCCACAAAGTCACTGTAAGTTTTGCAGCTTACAGCTCTGCTCCAGGGAAAGGTTTCCTCAATGCAAACCCTGCTCCAGCGGGTGAGGGGGTGGGCGTCCCCGGTGAAGTTGTTACAGCTCTGCTCCGAGCCAGAGAAGTCATACAGCTGGGCTTGGCTAGGAGAAAATTTCCCCATCAAAAGTGTTACAGTTCTGGCCACTTCAGCTCCAGAGAAAGTTTAAAATGTTCTTCATACATTTCTAATACAGCTGGACTCTCTCAGGCAAAAGTGTCATACCACACAACAAACCTCACTCGAGATTTATTGGGAGGGATCAGTCCAGGAGGGTGGTTGCCTCTAGCGGGAGAAGCAGCAGCAAATGCAGCAAAGTACAGAGTTTAGATAGGCTTTCTTGGAGGGGGGTGGAGAGGAGCTTTCCCAGAGTGGCTTGGGATTGGTGGGATTTCATCCTCAGGGATCTCAGGGATTGGTGGGATTCCATGCTGGGGTTGCGGGATATGGTGGGATTCTGCAGCCTGACTCTAGGGCAAGCTCAGGGATTGGTAGGGTTTCAAGACTTGGTCCTGGGTCAGGTCAAGGTCAGGGTGTTTTTCCTCATCCCTTTTCCCCATACAGAACCTGGAATTCATATACTCTGCTCAGATCTTCCCAATTCTGCCTTGCCAGCATTAGCATTTCAGATGTGTGCCACCATGTTCACCTTATTATGTGGGTGCTGGGGGTCAAACTCAGACAGTTAAGCCTGTGAGACAAACACTTTACCCAGAGCCTACTCCATCTGAACCCAGCTCCACTCTGTAGCTACTTGTGCTGAAACCAGGACATACTGAACTTTTGCCACAGACTATTTCTCTCCACTAGATGAACCTCGAACTCTGAATTCTCTGCTATCTACACGTGGTTGAAGACGTGATCTCTTCCAGACCAGGCACCTGCTGGCGTGCTTCCCCACCATTATTACTCTCCATCCGGAACCACCGTGCATATAAGCGCTTACATTTAAAAACATTTATCCACCCCTCTAACTCTAAGATAACCAGTCCCTAGTTATACAGCAGACACAAGTATTCCGCATACTTGAATTCTAAAAGTTTCTGATTCTCTACTTCACTTTCTAAACCATCTAATTACTGTATTATGATCACAGTGTATAGCTCTATCTGAATAAGCTCTCAATAGTACACTGAGTTCTGTTCTACTGGCTATGCTGTAATAAAGAATCTGTAACATTCCATTCTACTAGATACACTGTGAAAAAGAATCTGTCTGAAAAGCAGGATCTATTGAGCACACCTCAGTGTAGCTAGGTCATCATAAAGTCTGTCACTCAGTGGAGAATGGCACAGTACAAGGGCACTTGTGGTTCTTCTGCCTTTTTCGGGCACTAAGCTGGGACATGATGCACATAGAATCATTGTCCTTAGTTAGGTTTTATTGCTATGAAGAGATACCATGACTACGGCAACCCTTATCAATGAAAACATTTAACTGGGGTGGCTCACTTGGTACTGAAGGAACAGCTGAGAGTCCTACATCTTGCAGGCAACAGGAAGTCGACTGACTCACTGGGTGGTATTCCAAGCACAGGAAACCTCAAAGGCTGCCCCCCCCCCCCGCCCCGTGACACACTTCCTCTAACAAGGCCACACCTCCTAATAGTGCTACCCTTTGGGGACCATTTTCTTTTAAACCACCACGCTCAAACACTGAATTATTCACTATCTTCAACAGTCGGGTTGGGGAGAGTAAAGAGCTGGCTGTCCAAGCAAGAGAACCTGAGGCCCATCCCCAGAAGCCATGTCAAAAAGACAGGTTTCATAGCACACATCTGTAATCCCAGCCCAGGGGTGGAGAACAGTGGAGCCCTGGAGCTCACTGGCCAGCCAAGTCCAGCCATGTAGGTTCAATGAGAGATCCTGTCTCAAAATAAATAAACAAGGCAGATGGTGCTAGAGGAAAATACCAGATATCAACACACACTTGCATATATGTACACTCCCCCACATATATGTGCACTACAAATACATGCACAAGCATACAAGAGAGAAAGAAGATTCCCATGGAGTTAAGGATGGCTGTGAGCAGTCATGTCTGTGCTGGGAATTCTCTAACTCCTGAGAAACCCCTCCAGACCCTCATGTGAGGCAAATGCTGAGCAAGCTCAGCAAACCTACAATAGGAGAAGCTACCTTTTCTCAGCAGAACAAAGACACTGTGAGCTGAAATTTTCACCCAGACTTTTCTCTTCAACTGAAATTGGCAAAACCAAAGAAAGTAAAGAAAAAACGTCACTTCCTCTACAGTGAGAACATCACTCATTATGACTTTGGGATGGTTTGTTTGATTGCTGATTTTGCCTGGTTTTGATTTTTGTTTGTTTGTCTGTTTTTAACAGGGTCTCAAGTTGCCCGGGCTGGTTTTGAACTTGCTATGTGGCTAGTCTTGAACTCCTGGTCTTCTGTTTCTAGCTCCCCAAGTGCTGGGTTACAGACATGCTTATTTTGACTTCTTTTATTAAAAAAAACCCTCACAAACCACTTTATTAACAAAAATATTTCCTTAATAAAAACTCCTTGAAAAGTGAGATTTTATAAACATATTATCCCAGGGCTAGGGAGAAGGCTTGAGGGTGTGCACGGCTCTTTTGGAGGACTAGGAACCCACGCTGGGTGGCTCACTATCACCTGTGACTTCACTTCAGGAGATCCAAAGCTCTCCTCTGGCCTCCACAGGAACACACACACAGAGACACATGTAAATAAAAATAAACCTTTAAAAACATACACAAATGGGGCTGTGAAAATGGCTCAGCCGTTAAGAGCATCTGCTGCTCTTGCAGAGGATTCAGGTGTGGTTCCAGCACACAGGTGCTGGCTCACAACTGTCAATAACCCCAGTTATGGGGATCTGGCGCCCTCTTCTGGCTTCTGTGGACACAGTTTACACATGGTAGAGTTATATACACACACAGGCAAACATTCATATACATAAATCACTACAACATTGGGAGAGAGAATAGAGAGGAGCTGGAGGGGGAGGGAATGAGAAGAGTGGAGAAAAGGAAGACTATAGTCAGGATGTAAAATAAATAAAATAAATAAATAAAAAAGAAAATAGAAAAAGGCAAAAAAAAATAAATCACTACAACAGAAAATGGGGTTCTAAATGTTTAAAAATTTAAAAGTAGTAATGTATATTTGTAGAGTATTTAACATGCTAGCCCATGCATTTCATACTGCACCAGGCTAGCTGGGTGCAGTGCTGCACACACACCTTTAATCCCAGCACTCAGGAAGCACAGACATGCAGATCTCTGTTTGGGGCCAGCCTGGTCTACATAAAGAGTTCCAGGTCAGCCTGGGCTACAGAGAGACTTGGTCTCAAAACAGACAAATGAACAAACAAACAATAAAATCTAAGGAACCACACACAAGGCTTATCAAAGTATACAGAAGTCAGGAAGATTACTATGTCCAGATCCATGGTAGCTGAGTCCCTGGGACAAATGGCTGAACCTACAGCTATAGACTGTGTGTAGAAATGCAAGACAGTTGTGTCCCCAGGACAAATGGCTGAACCAACAGCTGTAGATGCTAATTAAATAAGAGGAAGGTCTCAGAAACCAGACACTGCTGACTGTAGGAGTGGGCCCTTCACACAACAGCACAGAACCAATCAGCAGCAGAAGGGAAGCCAACACCGCCCCCCCACTCCTCTCACACAGTGCACAGTTCTGTGCACGAGCCAGACAAGTACCGGACAACCATGGTAGGAAAAGCTGGCACCAAGCCGTTCCTAAGCGAGACAAAGCAGTGGGCTGTTTCTCAGCCAGACCAGTCATCTGGATGACGACATATTTCTACCCCAATGAGACTCAGCAACCTAGAGTCTCTGATGGTTGCACTATCTTGTTTACATTGTGTGTGTGTGTGTGTGTGTGTGTGTGTGTGAGAGAGAGAGACAGAGAGAAATAGAGATAGACAGAGAGACAGAGAGAAACAGAGAGAGAGAGAGAGAGAGAAGGCCAGAGAAAGAGAACAACTTCAACTGTTCTTCCTTGGGAGCCATCCACCCTGTAATTTATTTATCTATGTACTTATTTATTTTTGAGATAGAATTTCTCACCGGCCACATTAGGCTGCTCTGGTCATCAAGCCCCAAGAACACACCCGTCTCTACCTCCCCAGCTCTGGGACTATAAGTAGGTGCCATTGTTATAAGCATGTTTAATGAGGGTTTGGGGGACCTCATACTTGTCCAGCAAGCACTTTACCAAATGTGCCATCGACATCTCCCCAGCTCTGCTTTCTTGTTTTTAACGTTATCTTCTAAAAGAACTGACATCGCACACATGGCCCCCCACGCAATATGCAAAAAGGGAAACTATCTGTAATTTGCAGGTGGATTCAAGCTTAAGATTTCGAGATTCTATTCAAAGCATTCTCCTTCAAAAGCTGAGAAAGCCACAATTGAGAAGTTTCATATTTACCTCAATCATGCTTTTTATTCCTTTCTCTGCTTCAGTATTGAGTATGTAAATGCTTGAGGTCTCATAAACCAAAGTACTTTCCACTCAGTGCCTCTGCCTCCTGCCTGGCTGCCTCTGCGACCTCACAATTAGACGCCGGGTATTAAAATGCAGGCACACGTAGATTGTGATTTTGAAAGATTGTAGGTCATTGGTTGCCCTATCAGATGGGAACGGAGTGAAAAGGAACTCCGGAAAATGACTTAAGGTGATAAAAAATTTACACTTTCAAATGTCTGTGCTAATTAGCAGAAATATTTATTAGCTGCACTGAAACTTCCAAGCAGGGTCTCAAATCCAAGTCTGCTCAGTGCCCTCTACTGAGATGAGGGACTGCATGGTTTCTACAACAGACAGTGGCTCGCAGCCTCCGGCTTTGCGACTGTATTTTCACGCTTTATTGTATTTCATTTATTTGTGTGTTTATGGATGTGCATAATGTGTGCCACGGCAGAGGACAACTGGTGAATTTAGTTCTCTTTTTCCATCATGTGGGTCCCAGAGACTGAACTCAGGTTGTCAGGATGGGCAGCAGGTGCCTTTACTGCCGAGTCATCTCACCAGCCCTTAGCTATTTATTTGTTTGTGAGATGACGGGTCTCAAGTATCCCAGGCTGGCCTTGACAGCTTGCTTTATAGCTGAGGATGACTTTGAACTTCAGATCCTCTTGTCTCCGCCTCCCAGGTGCTCTGGAGCCACCCAGCAGTTGGGATCTCACTGGGGGCTCTGTGCATACAAGGGAGGCACCCAAACAACTGCGCTCCACCCCCAGCTTCTTTCCGGGATATTCAGGTCACTAATTGCAGCATGTAAAATGAGCCTGTCTGGCTGGGTGCACGCCTTTAATCCCAGCACTCAGAAGCAGAGGCAATGGATCTCTAAGTTTGAGGCCAGCCTGGTGCACAGAGTTAGTTCCAGGACAGCTAGGGCAATTACACAGAGAAACCCTGTCTCTAAAAATCATAAAACCAAAAGCCCCAAGCATGTTCAAGTCACCGACATTTCAAATGCTAAACCACTTCTTTAAGACAAGGTCAGATGCATCCCAGGTTGGCCTTGACCTTCACATGTAGTTGAGAATGACCTTCAACTTCAGATTCTCCTGTCTCACCTCCCAACTGCTAGATTACAGGTGTGCGCCAGCACTCTAGATTACAGGTGTGCGCCAGCACTCTAGATTGCAGGTGTGCACCAGCACTCTAGATTGCAGGTGTGCACCAGCACGCAGGATTACAGGTGTGCACCAGCACTCTAGATTACAGGTGTGCGCCAGCACTCTGGATTACAGGTGTGCGCCAGCACTCTGGATTACAGGTGTGCGCCAGCACACAGGATTACAGGTGTGCGCCAGCACGCAGGATTACAGGTTTGCGCCAGCACGCAGGATTACAGGTGTGCGCCAGCACGCAGGATTACAGGTGTGCGCCAGCACTCTAGATTACAGGTGTGCGCCAGCACTCTGGATTACAGGTGTGCGCCAGCACTCTAGATTACAGGTGTGCGCCAGCACGCTGGATTGCAGGTGTGCACAAGCACTCTAGATTACAGGTGTGCGCCAGCACACTGGATTGCAGGTGTGCGCCAGCACTCTGGATTACAGGTGTGCACCAGCACTCTGGATTACAGGTGTGCGCCAGCACTCTAGATTACAGGTGTGCGCCAGCACTCTGGATTACAGGTGTGCGCCAGCACTCTAGATTACAGGTGTGCGCCAGCACGCAGGATTACAGGTGTGTGCCAGCACTCTGGATTACAGGTGTGCACCAGCACTCTGGATTACAGGTGTGCGCCAACACTCTGGATTACAGGTGTGCACCAGCATACTTAGTTTCATTTGGCTCAGGAACAAAACCCAGGGCTTCCTGCAACTGTAAAATCTGACAGTGGAGCCACATCTACAACCCTAAATGACTTCTTTAAATTCTTAGTCCCCTGCCATGTTTTCCTCTCTGATTACCTGGCAAAGAAACCTCATTTATCTACCAAGCATGCTACTCCCCTACACAATTACAATGGACTTTCATAGCATGCTATAACTCCTAAATTCCTTAACAAACTTCCACTCTGACATATGCGTGTGTGTATATATACATATACATAACATATATATTGCCAAAGACCCTCAAAAGCATCTCTAATTCATATGCTAAGCAAACATTAATGATATAAATATAAAAGTGGCTCACATATGCATAACAGTCCAAGAGTGTATGTAGGTATCATATATATGTTAGTACTGGGATCAACCAGGGTCTTGCCCATGCTAAGCAGATTCTTCACTAAACTATGCCTCCTGCCCCTCCAAAGTATTTGAACACCACATTTAAATTCATGCCAACCAAAATAACTCTGTATCTTTTAAAATAGTATGAACAATTGGTTACCGTATTTGTAATTTCTGAGTGGAGGAGGCAGGCTGGTCCTCAAAGGGACATCTGCAAGAGAGAATGATGATTTTTCATTACAAAATATTCAGATAGGACGCCGAGTCTTTCAGTCCTGCTCTCTAAGAATCACGGGCCAGATTATTTCCCCTTTCCTTTCCTTAAGCAGCATCTCACGTAGCCCAGGCTGTCCTTGAACTACATGTGTGGCCAACAACGATCTCGAACTCCTGATTCTCCTGCCTCCACCTCCTGAGTGCTGGGATTACAGGTGTGTTACCATGCCCAGTTTACAGCATTGAACTCAGGGATGTACGCACGCTAGGCAGGCACACTCCGAACTGAGTGTTCTCCAACTACAGACTAGGCTAAGTTTAGAAATTAGACAAAATGGAGCTAACGCAGCACTGAAGTCCAGGGGCCACCTGCTATAAGGAAACCATCACTGAGACGCTGAGCTGGTAGCCACTGATCCAAGAAGCCAGAGGAACTATTGGAAGAACGATTGCTGGGAACGTTGAGAAGGCTCAGTCAGAAAGAGTAGCTGCTTCATAAGCGTGAGGATCTGGACTTGGGTCCCCGGAACCCACAGAAAATGTCAAAGGGCAGTGGTTTACTTCTACATCCCTGGCCCCGGGGGACAGAAGGGTCCAGAAGGACTCCTGGAGACCAGCAGTCATCCTAGCCCAGTAGGTGAGCTTCAGCTTCCGTGACAGACCTTTCCAAACAATGAAGGAGAATGAGCAAGGACAGACATTGGACATTGACCTCAGGCCTCCACACACATGTGCTCACCTGAACACGCAAGTACATACATGAGGTCCTAGGTTTCCATGCCAGCACTGCATACACTGGGCATGGTGATACACATGTATAATCCAAGACTTGGAGAAGTTAGGGCAGGCAGTGGATAAGAAGTTCAAGGTCATCTTTGATTACACAGAAAAGTTTGAGTTAGCTTGGGCTACATGAGATCTTGTCTCATAAAAATAAACCAACATTTTTCTCAAGATTTATTTTTATTAATGCTTCTTATGTAAGGGGAGGATATACACACATGACTGCAGGTGACTTCAGAGGCCTGAGGGTTGGAGTCCCTGGAGCTGGAGTTTTAGGCAGGTATGAACTGTCCAACATGGGTACTGGGAGCCAAACTTGTGTCCTCTGGAAGAACAAGTAGAGCCCTTAGCCTCTGAGCTGTACCCCCCCACCCCAGCAGTTTCTAAAAGACAGATAGTATGTAGGATAGAAGGAAGGGAGGTGGGGAGAGGGAGGGAGGAAGAAAGGGGAATCCCTGTACTTAATGTTTTGCCACTGATGGCAAATCAGAGGATGTACTCCCTGAAAGTGATCAGGAGAATTGGCTCTGATGTTACAGTATGTGGAGACACAGAGAGACGGGACCATGACCAACACACTTTCTCTGTATCTCAGCTACACTGCCGAGTCCACTGACAGCCCCGTGGGTACCAGCTCCGTGGATGTTGCTATAGCCATGCTGCTTGACCTAAAATGGCTCCATTCTCTGCTAATTCATAAATCCTGAAGATTAAGGCACCATGGACTGTCTTCTCAAGTCGTGAGCAGAGAGCACAGTCTGCTTCTCTCACGTGTAGCTGCTATCTAAAAAATCACCTGCGGCATGTGGCAGGCACTCAGAAACCCTTGAGAAGGAGAAACACCGTAAACCCCTTCGCCTGGCAACTGTGAGCACCAAGGCTCCAAGGAGGCAATTAGTGATGCCCGGTGGTTGTGGGCTAGAACATCTTGTACCAAAAATGAAATTCTTAACATACATTGCACATGAACACATGTGCACACATGCCAGGAATATCAACTGAAAACCAAACGTCAGGGTACAACAATGTAAGCAAGTTAATATAAATACAAACACAAATATAAATAAGCTCATTATTCACACCAACGATACAGAGAGCCCACCCTCAGGGCGGGAGGGGTAACTCCCTGCACTCCAGCTGTAGACTGTGCACAGAAGGAACTTCCGAACCACGGGCCCTGGCTCAGCTGGTGGAGTGCTTGCCTGGCCGGATGAAGCTCTTGGTTTGATGTCTAGTACAACACAGAACAAGAGAAGTGATCTACGCCTGTAATTTGAAAAGTTAGGAGGTGGAGGCAGGAGGAGTGGATGTTCAAGGCCATTCTCAGCTTCATAGCCAGTGTGAGAACAGACTGGGGTGAGTGAGGCACTATTTCAAATAGGGGGGAAAAGCAGAAAGGGAAACCAAAAGTACAGCCTGAAAAGGGGGGGGCACAATTATACAGAGACAAAGTGTCACACTGTGGGGTCCACACTAAGGCACAGAGCATGAGGAAAGCAGATGTCCTCAACAGGACAGTCTCCATGATCTGCCTCCCATGAAGCTGGAACCCCACCTCATAGAGACTTCCCAGCAAACTCAAACCAAAGAGAATCCTCCCATAGGCCAACCAGTCCTCAGGACTTCCAGAAGCCAAGTCTGAATAGCTGTCAGAGTCAAGAGGAGCCTGAGGACACCAGACAACCACAGACCCGGTAAGAGGCCGGCTAGCAAACACACTTGCCACACAATCCAGATGACCTGGGTTTGATCTCCGGGACCCATGTACAGGTGAAAGAAGAGAAATGACTCCACAAACTTGTCCTTTGACACGACACAGGTGCGTGCAGACACACACACACACACACACGCACACAGGCACACACACACTATACACAGCAATAATAAAATAAGGTTAGAAAACAAAACCATGATAAATAAGCATAAAATGGGATCCTGCCTGGAAACCTTGAGCAAGAAAACAAACAAAAAACAATTTGGAATAAATTTTAGTCATTGCTGGTATGTTCGTCAGTTCATAGCTGTAGCCAATGTAATGTTCTAATGTACAATGTTAAGAGAGGAAACTGGGGGTATTAAATGCAAAGAAATATGAAAAGATAAAAAGGAAATGTTGGGGCTAGAGAGATGGGTCAGTCAGCAAAGTTCTTGCCAAATAATCTTGAATTCCCAAGTCCAGCAACAAGCATCTGTGTAAAGAGGGGTGTGTGGCTGTGCATGGTTGTGACCCAGCACCGGGGAAGTGGAACCAGGAGGACCCTGGACAGCTAGCCTAGCCAGTGAGCTCCAGGTCATACAAGGAGCGACTCTATCTCAAACAAACAAACAGACAGACAGAGGGTAGGAAGCTGGAGAGATGGCTCACTGGTTGAAAATGCGTACCAAAGGACCAGGGTTCAGTTCCCAGCACCTACATCAGGTGGCTCACAACAGCCTGTAATCCCAGTTCCAGGCAGTCCAGCATTCTCTGGCCTACACAGGCAATTGCACACACACAATGCACACAAACTCATATTGGTGCACACATAATGCAAGATGGATGGCACTTGAGGAAGGACACCCAAGGGTGGTCCAGGAGGATCCAGAGGGCACAAGCCCCATATACATACAAACATGAACACGTACCAACATGGACATGTACACACATGCACGGGGGGGGGGGGCGAAAAAAATCTTACAGTAGCAGACTACAGTGCCCCCTCGGGAGAGCAGGCTGCTTCACAAAGCAACACTGCCAGCAGTAAAGGGACATAAAGAAATCTTCAGAACCTGAAAGCTGGACAAAGCCATCACAGTTCGTCACAGAGAAATTCCTAACATTCAGAAGAAGGATCTGAAATCTTAGAAAATATCGAAATGCTTCTAAATCAAAGACTATTTGAAATCTCACCTCATCTACATAATTGGTTTCTGCACTCTTATGATGCTGCTTTAGAAAACAGGCCACTTACATAAGGTATCATGGTAGTTCTATAATCAAAATAGGAGATTAAGGAGACCTACAGCTGAAAGATCCCGAGAGATGGGCATGGCAAAGGATTCCTAATAAGCTTACACTGAGCGCAATAAAGGGGGCATTGGCATTCTTGTATCAAGGATGACCAGTGTCCACGTCTCTGTCTCTCTGTCTGTATGTGTGTCTATCTCTGTGTTTTTAGGTCTCCAGCTTAGTTCCCAGCTCGCGTACCATCTTGAATGGAACGGTGCTAAGGGACCGTCAGTTTTTACAGAACAGGAACAGGACCTTTTGGCTTTTAACATGTGGCCCCACCAACTCAGGACCTCAAATCAAATGACAGGCTTGGACACAGAGTCCACAAGCTCAAAAAGAGTCCATACCCTAAAGAGTCTGTTTTATTTTGTTTTTGTTACCAAGTCTCCTGTGACACAAGCTGGCCTCAAACTCCCTAAGAAGCTAAGAAAGACCTGATTCTCCAGCCTCCACCTCAGAGAGCTAGGATTCCAGTATGTGCCACCATGCCCAGCTTGTGCGGTGTTTAGGATGGAACCCAGGTAGAGCTGTGAGCATGCCAGGACAGCACTCCACCAACTAAGGAATGCCCCGGCACCCCTAGTTCACTTCCACAGTGAAATTTCTCACATACTCAAGAGAAACGGGCAGTGATCACATCATTACAGTAGCAGGCCTGAGGGTATAGCTGTGACAGGCACCACTAGACTCCTGGGGACCATGGTAACCAACAGTCACTGTGAATGAATCGTTCTGTGGTACACGGAAACCACCACTTCCTATACCACCATAGCAACTTGAAAATCATACCTTATTCCCGAGAATGTCAAAAGGATCCTACTCTGCCTGACCAAGAACACCACGCCCTTGCTGCACTGATGCCAACAGCAGAGTCCTTCGCACCCGTGAAGCCTTGAGCACACGGCCGGGAGGCGGCTCAGCAGCAGGTAAAAGCACCTGCCACCAAGTCTGAAGTCCTGAATTTAATCTCTAGGACCCACATGGTACAGGGGAGTGTGACTTCCTCCTCCGTACACAAACTGCGGTACACACATGTGCACATGCACAAACAAATTATCATGCACACAAACATATGTGCACACAGAGAGAAAATAAATAAAATGTAATAAAAATGAGAAAATGATTTGAAAGTAACTGTAGAACTGTTTGCAGTTCAAACTTTGAATATTTTTTTTATTTGAGGAATGACTTTCCAAATGCAAGCTACTCTGTAACTGGCACTGGGGGAGTGACCAGAATATATGCCCACCTGCCACAAGGATTGTTTGGAGCTAAAAGCTGATGTCTAGTGATCTCTCCTTCCCTGTTTGCCTAAGACAGCCTACAAACAGGCTTTCTTCCAGAGCGACCTTAGAAAACTGTTGTGCCCCCATCAGCCTGCAGGGGGCATCAGAGTGTACCGTACAGCAAAACTCCAGCAACCAGGCCTTCTCTACTCCCCTGTCCACAAAATTCCACCCCTAAGCATCCAGATCCTCTTCCTTGTCTGGGCACTTCTCTGGGATTTTTTTACATCCCTGGGGATCCCACATTTATGGCGTTCACCTAGCCATAAGCTCCTGCTGGGTTTTCTCTTGTTTACCCGTCTCTTTCAACTGAGAACTTACGATGCAGGGAGCTGGGGAAATGGCTCAGAGGGGTAAAGCACTTGCTTGCCCTTGCCATGCGAGTGTGAAGACTTGATTGATTCCCCAGAGACCACATCAGCTCAGGCATAATAGTAAGTGACTGCAATCCCACAACCACGGGCCAATGAAAGGCAGAGAATTGCCAGATGCAAGAAACAAAAGACCTGTCTCAAATGAGATGGAAGGTGAAGAACGACACGCAGTTGTCCCGACCTCCATATGTGCTGTGTGACACATGAGTGTGTGGTGCATGCTTGCACATAGGCACACATCATACATAAGTTTTTAAAAGAACTTATGAGTGAGGAAAAGTTAGTTTTCTCCCCTATAACATTATCTTTTAGTATGAAATATCAATATTCCCCTAATAATTAAGAACAACAAATCTAGTGGCACATGTCTTTAATCCCAGCACTTGGAAGGCAAGGCAGGTGGATCTCCGAGTTCAAAGCCAGCCTGGTCTACAGAGTGAGCTTCAGAACAGCCAGGGCAACACAGAAAACCATGTCTTGAAAGAAAAAATATGGCAACAAAACTTTATATTCTAGGTGTCAGTCGGAAGATACTTCACAAAACGATTTAAATAACCACAGAAAGGAAACCTGCCACCAAACCAAGCCCACACAACTACCTCTCAAAAAGAGAGCTCAAGGAATTAGGGTGAGTAGTTAGAGCAATGAAACAGCTTACTCATAGATGGAGAGATGGCTCAGCAGCTAAGAGTCCTTAATTCTCTTGCAGAAAACCAAGGCTTAGCTCTCAGAACCTGTGGGGAGCTCACATCTGCCCATCACCCCATTCCAGAGAATCTGGTGCCCTCTCCTGGTCTGCGTTAGCACTGCATGCATGTGGTACACATACAAATATACATACACACACAAATGAAATTAAATAAATCTTTAAAAATATTTATTCAAGATGCCTATAAAACCATAAAGACAATAGGGCAATGCGTTGGGAAAACACACCAATTTTTAAAATTATACTTTATTTATTTATTGTGTATCGGTGAGGACATACATGCCATGGTGCACTTTTGGTGGCCAGAGCACAACCCGTAGAAGTTAGCACCCTCCTTCCACCATGTGGGACAAACTTGGGTCATCAGAATTGATGTCAAGTGCTTTATCCATTAAGCCATCTCACTGGCCTTAAAAAATACATCTTACCTCAGTGTAAGTGAGGCAAGGAGAAAGAAGAGGGGCTTAGGGAAGGAAAGAAAGGTGGCTGGACATCCCTAGGCCCCGTTCCCATGGAGTGGAATGGGACGGGGTTGTGAAATCGGTGGTCAGTACACATGTAATCATGACACCATGGTGCTCATTGCAACAGATATGTCATCTATGACGTTCAAGTTGAAAAAAAAAAGAGTAGAAAAAATATTATTTTAGTAAGGTTTTTAAAATTATTTGTGTGTGTGTACATGCACCTCCTTGTCTGCGTGTGCACCACATGTATGCAGTACCCAAAGAGGCCAAAAGAGCCTCAGGTCTCCTGAGCTGTAGTGCTAAGAACCAAACCAGGCCCTCTGCAGGAACAGCAAGCACTCTTAGCCACTGAGCCACTTATCCAGCTTCCTAAATAACTTCATAGTTTTGTGTTGAGTTCATTCCTAGAGCACACGTGGCCCTCAGGCCACAGGTTAGACACACCTGCTTGAAACCTGGAAAATCTCAGCCACTCCTATCTTGACACCTTTTGGTTTGAAGAGGTAAGAAGGATTGGATGAGCTTAGTGACAGTCGCTATTTACCACCTCCTACGTACACATTAAGTGATTGACATGTCTGCACGAACTGACCCAAAGGCAGGACAGCAAAGGGACAGACACAGCATGCATACAGAAATGTCACCCAGCAGACTCCTACACAGACCCAAGGGAACAGTGAGGGCTTTAAGCAAAAGTGGTTTTCAAGTCCCTGAAACTTCCTGGCAACCTTCATTATTATGACACACACAGTCCTCATACACATGCACATACACACACAGTCTGGGAGATAACTTAGTGGGTAAAACACTTGCCACATAAATATGATGACCAGAATTCAGATCCCAAGAGCCCCATGGGTGGGGGTGGGTTTGAATAGATATGAATCCCATGGACTCATGTGTCTGAATGGTTGGACTATAGGGAGTGGCACTATTAGGGGTGTGGCCTTGTTGGATGAAGTATGTCACTGTAGGGCAGGCTTTGAGGTCTCATATGCTCAAGCTACACCCAGTGTGGGAGACAGTTCACTTCCTGTTGCCTATGGATCATGATGTAGAACTCTCAGCTACCTCTCCAGCACCATGTCTGCCTATATAATGCCATGCTCCTTGATAATGGACTAAACCTCTGAAACTGTAAGCCTTCCCCAATTAAATGTTTTCCTTTATAAGAGTTGCTGTGGTCATGGTGTCTTTCACAGCAGTAGAAACCCTAAGTAAGACAGTGGGCATGGATGTTGTTTATAATTCCAACCTCAGAAGGCAGAGAGAGAGAGGGAGAGAGAGAGCTGACTAACAAAACCAGCCTTGTCAGTGAACTCTGGGTTTGACTGAGAGACTGTGCACCTCAATGAATATGGTGGGAGAGCAACAGAGAATGATTCCTGAAACCAACCTCAGGCTTCCTCACATTTGCATGCACACACACACACACACACACACACGTGCACACACACGCATGCACGCACACATGCACAGAGACACAAGCTTGCATGTGAAAATGGAAAAATAAAACAGTAAAAATAAAAAGTCACACAGGTTACAAATCATGGAACTATATATTAAAAAGCTATGAACTGTACTCTATATCAGTTTCGCTTCACTTAAAAGAATCAAAGCATTTGCTAGAGCTGTACCGACGCCTGTGGAACACTTCAGCAGTGAAGAGCAATAAGGCCGCCAGGACGGGGCTGCACTTCTACCTCTGCACATCCAGAATGATAAACGAGACCACCACAAGATGTCCATCTCCGAGCCAGAGAGATGGCTCAGCTGGTAAAAGCACCTGCTGCCAAACCCGACGACCTGAGTTCAAATCCCAGCCCCTCATGGTGGAAGGAGAGACCCTGAGCCTGTAAACTGTCCTCTGGCTTCCACTCTGTGGCACAAGCAGCCTCCCACCACATACATCATGGATACAGACACACACACAGTAAATAAATATGAAAATGTAAAGTGTCTTCTCTGATATCTTCAGTGTCCTGCTGCTACAGCCACACTCCCAGGGCAGGCTCCGGTGTGCTATAAAAAGATAGTCAGCTACATCTCACTCCAATGTCATTCAGTCTCCAAAGATTAAAGACTCACTACAGGCAGAACTTGGCTTTCTCTGTGTGTAAGTACATGTTTATGTATGTGTATGTGCGTGGAGACCAGGCGTCAACACTGGAGGTCTTCCTCAGTCTCCTTCCACCTTACTTTAAGACAGTCTTCTCGCTGATCACCAATTCTGGAAGACATGTGCAAGATGCAGAGGAAGCCTGGAGTGAGCGAAATCCTGAATATTTGACAGAAGCAAGGCCTCTTAAGGATTCCAAGACTAATTGTCCATGGAAAACTGGCAAAGCCATTACCCATATGGGCCAGACTCAAGAGGAATGGCAAAGCTTGGGCATCCAAGTATGTGGGGAATCTTTGTCAACCAATTACCTTTAAGAGGTGGGACCAAGTTAGGGTGTGGATGATTCTCCTGGCTCTACGTCCTGAGTGCTGGGATTACAGGTGTGCATCACTAGACCCAAACTAATTTTGTACTTTTCAAAGATTATTATTAATATGTAGTCAAAATACAAATGAAACAAAGCACCTCTATTTCTCATACCTTGCTTTAGAAAAATTATAAATTCCTTCACAGTTTGGTCCAAATTAACTCCATGATATACTACAGGTCTGAAATTTCGATGTTCAAACGAACGGATGAGGCGAACTGTGACCGTTGCTTCCTTGGCAGCCATGCGGAGAGAAACCTGTGGTAAGACACATGATAAAGTGGATCAAGGCAGGGCTGAGGAAGAGCGAGCTTTCGGACCGAGCTGAGCACGTATGGGGGCCTTCTGCTATCCCAGTGCTTGGAAATCGGAGTCAAGAGACTCCTGGGGCAATCCAGCTGGCAAGACTAGCCATACTGGTGCCCGGCCTCAGTAAATGAAGTGGAGACTGACTAAGGAAGACATCCATTGTCAACCTCAGGCCTCCTCCACACGCACACATGTGCACCCAAACACACATGCACACACACTACACATACACACACATTAAAATAAAAAAAATCAAATAAAACTTATTTCTTAGTCAGTGGCAGGGACTTTAATAATTGGCAACACTTTGTGTCTTAAGCAAGATATTAAACATAGGGATAGTGGGCTATTTTTATGCCTTTCAATTTGTCTGAAATAGTTCATAACCACAATGAAGTCACATAAACTTGGCTATAAAAGTCTCTCTGGATAACTGAACTCTTGTCCAATTGTTTTACTAAGTTTGGGGAAAAGATACAGCATATTAAGCATGAAAAACCAGGGAGTTTACTATTTGAATGCATCAAATAATTTATAATTAAAATTAGCATATTAGCTATAATGAAATGGCTTCTATAAAACCTGCAATAGATTTTCCCCATAAAATAAAGTAAGTGTTCATCTAACCTGCCTCTTGGTTAATAAACCTAATAAATCTTTTGATAATTCCAATATTGGTGATTACAGCATTCCCCATACCACCTTCATAATTCTCCTCAGAAAAACACAGTCCTAAAAGCTACCAAATAATAGTTCAACATCTACAAAACAAAAATTTTCAACATACTGAAGCACTAAATATTACTGGCACAATCCAGTTTCAGGAATTTTGTGATCAAATATTCTAAATCTCCTTTGCATGCTGAGGCATAGTCTCAGAGCTTGGCATATTCTCCGTCATACTTTTCTCCTGAGCTGCTTCCCACCCAGCCCTGAGTGTCTTCTTTGTGTTCATGTATGTGTGAGTACACAGGTTCATGTATGTTTTATGTATGGGGAGAGGTCAGAAGACAATCTCGTGTTGTTCCTTGGGTGCTGCAATGGTTTAAAAAGGAATGGCCCGGGGCTGGAGAGATGGCTCAGAAGTTAAGAGCATTGCCTGCTCTTCCAAAGGTCCTGAGTTCAATTCCCAGCAACCACATGGTGGCTCACAACCATCTGTAATTGGGTCTGGTGCCCTCTTCTGGCCTTCAGGCATACATGTAGACAGAATATTGTATACATAATAAATAAAAAAATATTTAAAAAAGATGCTACATAAGTATAAAAAGGAATGACCTCCATAGGCTCACATATTTGAATGTTTGATCTTTAGGGAGTGGCACTATTAGGAGGTGTGGCCTTGTTGGGGTAGGTGTGGCCTTGTTGGAGGAAGTGTGTCACTAGGGGTAGGCTTTGGGGTTTCATATGCTCAAGAGAGGTCTCTCTTCCTGCTGCCTGAGGAGCTAAATGTAGAATTCTCAAGCTACTTCTCCAGAGCATGTCTGCCTGCATGCTGCCGTGCTTTCTGCAGTGATGACAATGGACTAAACCTCTGAACTGTAAGCCAGCCCCAGTTAAATGCTTTCCTTTGTAAGAGCTACAGTGGTTGTGATGTCTTCACAACAGAAGATTCTGAATAAGACAGAGGCCTTCTACTTTTGTCCGATGCACTGGTTCTCACTGGCCTGGAATCTTACCGATGGCCACATCAGCTGGCCAGTGAGCTGCTGGGGGCCCACCTGTCTCTGACTACAGCAAGAACTGCAGCTGTTTAACCCTATTCTCATGTCCTCTGTTTACAAGGCACGTGCTTCTGACTGTCCCATCTCTCCAGCCCAGGTTTTCATTCTGACTACATCTATTTATTCCTCTCTCTCATCTATCTATCTGTCTGTATGTCCATTTGTCTGTCTATTGTGTGTGCACATTCAGGTGGTGCACTGTGCCATGGTACCCACGTGGAGGTCAGAGGACAACTGGTGGGGGCAATTCTCTCTTTGCACGTTGTGGACTGAATTCAGTTTGTACAGCAAGCCCCTTTACCCAATATGCTGTACCTCCAGCCCATGCTCTGCTTCCCTTTCTTTCTTGTAAAGATTTATTATGTATACTGTGTTCTGCCTGCATGTGTGCCTACACTGCGGAAGAGGGCACTAGATCTCATTATAGATGGTTGTGAACCACCATGTGGTTGCTGGGACCTCTGGACCTCTGGACTCAGGACCTCTGAGTCACCTGTCCAACCACATACTCTGGTTCTGGATTGTGATGTTAGTCAAACTGCATAAAATAAATGTATGGACACACAGACACGCCTAGACATACACACACAACATGCATTTACAACAGTGAAATATGAACTGAAACCATGGACTGTGCCAACAGCAGTTGTCTAGCCATGAAAAGAGACTACATTCAAGCCAGGCCCACCACCAGGGGGACACAGGGGTTAGAGGTATAACAACTCTTATCTGCATTATTTCTTGTGATTTCATGGAGAACTACAACTATCTCAAAATAAAAAAAGTTTCTAAAACTCATCATTCAGTGTGGTGGTTTGAAAGAAAATGACCCATAGGGAGTGGCATTATTAGAAGGTGTGGCCTTGCTGGAGGAAGTACGTCACTGTGGGGGCGGGCTTTGAGGTCTCTTGTTCAAGCTTTGCTCAGTGTGACACTGAGATCATTTCCTATTGCCTGCAGGTCAAGATGTAAGACACCCAGCTACCTCTCCAGCACCAAGTCTGCCTGCCCACTGCCATGTCCCACCATGATAATGGACTAAATCCCTGAAAATCTAAGACAGCCCAATTAAATGTCTTTCCTTAACAAGAGTTGCCGTGGTCTTGGTGTCTCTTCCCTAAGTAGGACATTCAGACAAGCCTGCTGCCATGATGAATGGAGGGACCGCACTGAACAGCACAGCACCAAAACCATCAGGGAAGAGACCGGCAGAGTGGAGACACCACAGCAGCCATTGGCTGTCAGCACCTAAATGCACCAGCCAATCTAATGAATGCATCAAGCCCAGAGCTTCCAGCGCATTTACTGACAGAGGCAGGATCAGTGACACAGAGGTAGCAGCCAAGGTCAGACGCTAAGGGAGTCTACTGGAGGCAAGGCCTGGTTTCTTCAGCAAACCCCCAAACAATAAAGAAGGCAGTCTAGGAGACTGGTCAGGGGGTAAAATACTTACTGTTCAAGTGTGAGAACCTTTAGCTCCTCAGAACACATATAGAGCCAGGCTTGGTAGTGAATTCTGCAATTCCGGGGCTTCTGTGAAGACACGGAAACTAGAGCCATGAGAATCCTAGGCGCTTGCAAGTCAGCTGGCCTGGCATACAGCGAGGGGACAGCACAAACCTCTGGATCAATAACAAAGTGGGGTGGGGGCTGGAGAGATGGTCCAGCAGTTAGGAACACTCACTACTCTTCCAGAGGACCCGGGTTCCATTCCCAGCACCCATGTTAGGAAGCCCACAACCACCTGCAATTCCAGCTCCAGGAGATCCAACACCCTCTGCTGGCTTCCGTGGGCGTCTGCATTTGTGTGCAGCAGTGGTTCTCAACCTCCCTAACACTGCGACCCTTTACCACAGTTCCTCGTGCTGTGCGGACCCCAGCTGTAAAGTTATTTTGTTGCTACTTCATAACTACAATGTTGCTACTGTCATGAATTGTAATATAAATATCTGCTTCCTATGGTCTTAGGTGACCCCTGTGAGAGGGTCATTCAACCCCCAAAGTCCTCACCACCCACAGGTTGAGAACTGCTCATGTACACTGACACAGATACAGGCGCATAGATTAGAAATAATGAAGCAATGGGGGCTGGAGAGATGGCTCAGCAAAGTTAGGAGCACTTTCGACACTTCCTTCCAAAAGACCAGAGTTCTGTTCCTAATACCCACATCAGATGGCTCACAAACACTGGTCACTCCAGCTTCACAGAATCCAGTAATTTCTGTTCTACCTGGGCACCTGTACACATGTGGCATTCACATTCATATACATATGAGCAAATCTTTAAAAACAGAAGTAAAATAATAAGCAAAATGTGGAAGATGAGAACCAACCCCCGAGGTTGTCTTCTAAGCTCCACATGCACACTGTTCCACGTATGCAGCTTCACACACACATATACATACATCATACACACATCATACATACAAAGAAACAGTGAACTGAGAGTGACAGTCATGTATCAGATTGGCATGGTTCAGACATGGGTTGGGCACCCATGTAGTGGTATGGAGGGGTGGTAGGACCTTCAAAAGGTGGTAGGATCTTCAAAAAGAGATGGGGCTCAGTGGCAGAGTAAATGCTCAGAATAAAGGGAGCCCCTGGGCGCAATTCCCAGCATCATATGGTTATATTCCAGTAACATACTGAGCCACAGCAAATAAATCCAAATAGCACTCAGTGGTTAGTACACCAGAATCAAACCACGATGGACGGTGGTGGTGCACACCTTTAATCTCAGCACTCGGGAGGCAGAGGCAGGTGGATGTCAGTGATTTCAAGGCCAGCCTGGTCTACAAGAGTGAGTTCCAGGACAGGCTCTAAATCTACAAAAAAAAAAAAAAAAAAAAACCTGTCTCGAAAAACAAAACCAAAACAAAGCAGAATCAGGTCACATGCCTGGAAAGAGTCTAAACCATCTGCACAGCACTGAAAGCCTTGCACACTCTGCCCAGCCTGGGCCCTCACCATCACAATCCACTTTCCCTGCATCCTTCCAGCTACAAAGACAGCTCCTGCCTTCCCACACAGTCACCAAGGTAGTGCCACACCCTCCCACTGTCACTCCCTTTATCCTCCAACAATGGGAGCTTCAGGAAGCAGGTCAGAGACTCCCAACCTGGGCCAGCTTCGATCTGAGTGCCTCCTCCCTCAGGCTGAGCTCTGGAGCTCTCTCCCATTGAAGGAGAATACACTGCTCACAGGAAAATATACTACATGCTCGGTTTCTTCTAGATCTGGCAACTTGGGCTACTGAGGTGCGTCAGAGGGTCAGGAATGCTTGCTGGTGGAAGAGCGGTGCTGAGGACAACCTGCATTCCCCAAGACACACTAGCAGGCATCCTGCAACAACGCAGGAGGGCCACAGGAGAGGTGCGCAAGCTGGGAGCGGTACAGTGCCTGCCTGGCACACATGAGGCTGAACCCCAACACCCCAAAAGTCATCAGAGAAGGAAGGAAGAGGGAAGGAGTTAAGAAGGGAGGGAGGGGTGAAGGAAGGGTGTACAAGAGGGAAGGAAAGATGGGTGAGAGAAGAGAAGGGAAGGCAAGAGGGAGATAAAGGAGGAGAGGAAGGAGATGGAGCGAGGAGGAAAGGAAAGAAGGAAGGAGATGTAAAGAAAAACTTAATGTCTCCCAACAATAACAAATTTTAAAAGCAAAATTAATATTTAAATATCTATAAAAGTAATATTCAACAGCAACTCAATATCTCTATATCACAGGCAGTTCAGCTGAACCTAGGCTGGGCACACCTTAATGTACAGGCTTGGGCAGGGCTTTGAAAAGTGAGAGTGCCCGGGGCTTAGGAAGGTCTTTAAACCTCCCATCTACAAAACCTGTTCAGGTGGGTGTCTGCCGGAGCACCCGGTTCCCTGGCGGCCACATCACTGCAGAATCGAGGGCCTCACTGGCCCGGGCTTCAGCATGCTTAGGGGTTAAGTGTCATTAAAGTCAGGAGGCTTCCAGACTCCAGTCCTCTGAGCAACAGAAATTTAGGAACTAGGAAAGTAGCGACAGGATGCCACAACACCCAGGACTTAGCAGTTTCTCAAGCCGGAACCTCTCTGTGGGCAGAGTTCCCAGCTGAACAGCTAGGAGCCCAGCAAGGCTGGATCCTTCTCTCCTGGTGACATCCCTCAAACAAGAAGAACACACATGTCCACATCACACTGGGTGTGAGCTTTATACTGATATCTATCAACTCAAAGAAAACATGTAACTAGAGTTGATTTTGGCTGTTAACGTAGTTTGTGTCTATAAAGTTGGTTATCAACACTGAGTTACAACTCAGGAATCGCTGCTAAGACAAACACAGGGTCAGGTTCCTAGGAACCTCTGGTCCTGGAAATTTTGACAGTTGATAAAGACATAAACTGTCCTGTTCTGTCATGCATGTCTGTTAATGTTGAATTCACAGATGATGACATTGGCCATGTGTGTGGAAATTTGCCCACCATACCTGTCGGCTCTGTAAGGTATACATGGCCCTCTAACGCTTATGAACACGCAGTGATTCAGATCTACATCTGGAGGTCTTACATAAGCAAACAATAGGGGCCAGCGACATGGTTCTGTCAGTTAACGGCGCTTGTTAGGAAAGCCTGAAGATCCAAGTTCAATCCCAGAACCCAAGTGAAGATAAAAGGGGAAAACTGTCCAGGGCAGCCAGGGCTACACAGAGAAACTCTGTCTCCAAACCAAAAGGGGGAGCCCAATTCTACTAAGTTATTCTATGGGCCTCTATATGCACACAGTGACACATTTATGACCCTTGTACACAATAACACTTTTTAAAAATTAAAAACAAAACTAAAAAGTAAAAGATGGGGACAGGGAGATGGTTCTGTTGGCAAAGTGCTTGCTTGAATCCTCAGCATGAGAACCTGCATTTGGACAACTAGAATCTACATGAAAAGCCAGCACAGGGGCCAGTGAGGAGACTTAGCAAGTAAATGCCCTTACCATTGAGCGTGACCACCTCAGTCTGAGTCCATGATTCCACACCGTGGAAGGAAAAACTAACTCTTGCAAGTTGCCTTCTGACCTCCAATGTGTCCCACCACATACATACAGAGATAACTTTTAAATTAAGGAAAAAATAGTTGGGGCTGGGGAGACGGCTCAAGGTCTACTACCAAAGCCACTGACCTGAGTTTGATCCTTGGGACCCACATAGTGAAAGAAGAGAACCAATCCCCTCAAGTTGTCCTTGGACCTCCGCACCTGTGCTATGGCATATGCACATACACATCTAATAAACAAATAAATAAATGTAGTTTTTTAAAAACTAACGAGCCACCTAGAAGTGATTCTTAAAGGAAGGAAGGGAGGGAGGGAGGGAGGAGGGAAGGAGGAAAGAAGAGCCAGTACAGTGGTACATGTCTAT